TCAAATACGAAAATTTGACATCTGAAAAAGGCAGCTGCTTTCTGATTAACCTATACAGAGGGTGAGTATGCTTCTCAAGCAAAAATAAACTATAAACTAATCCTAAATGTGAAAATCAAAATTTGACAAAGTCCGACATGTTTTTGTATATGGTGGAAATGTGGCCTTTATTTACGGAGGTAGTCCAGTAAATTGGCCACATTTATGAGGCTAGGCTTGGAATTGCATGCCTGCCTGATAAATTGGCTCCTTTGGGAACAGCAATGGGCAAGATTACCATATGCAAAGTTCACTAATTTTCCTCCGTATTGACTAACCATCCCCCCGATAGCAATTTCATGTCATCAAAGTCAATTTGAGCCGTGAGAAAATATAAGCAATTTCTTAGAAAACACTTTCTGTTGAGTGAACTTCGTATATGGAAATCTTTCCACTGCATCAATTAAAATGGCTTGTTGAACACTTGATCTCATGATCAAATGTGCTCTTGTTAACCTTATAAATTAATTACTCAATTTCATTTTATTTTTTTCTTTCAACGCAGAAAACACAGGATGAAATCATGCCATTTTGAGTGCCTCAAGACTAGAGCCATCTGCATCATCTAGTCTAGTCAGTTAATTAAGCAGCTTTACATTTTCATGTTGTTTAGACTACGTCGATGTGATTGCGTCATGCTGAGGCTTTGCACATGCGTCAAGTCGTCACCAATGTTGTCTGAGCGAGAGAAGGACGCCGCGACTACAGGGATTTGATGTTCACTCGAAAACCAGAACGATATTCGCATAAAGTAACGTCAAACGAGGCTTTCCAACATGGACGCGACCAGTCGCCAGGGTTGCTCAACTGTAAGTAGGGCCAACTGTTGTTACTGTTGATGCAGATGAATCACTGTTAGATTGTCACAGTATTTAGTGGAGTACAGAATACCTCCCTCGAACAAACGAACAACGTCATGCTGTAGCAACCACATTTTTGCATGAAACTTGCGTCTATGCGACCTTTTTGGAAGATTAAACCTGCGAAATATCTACTTTTGCGAATCCTACAGTAGACTTTTAGGATGCAAGGAGGTACATGATATATTCTGTTTTGTGTATTGAGATTGCAGAATGTATTTTCGTGCATTTTAGAGACATTTTCACCAGATGTTTTGCTCCACTTCAGCTGTCTTGTTCCACGTCAGACAGCTGACGTGGAACAAGACAGCTGAAGTGGAACAACAGTTGAAGTTGAACACAGAACAAGACTGTTCGAAGTGGACCTGCGACTTCCTTCAAGGAACATTTGCGTGACCTGAGACCGCCCTCAGTGAACATTTGCCTGACTGAGAACATTTTGAGGCATTTATCAGAAACTGTGCATTTTGTTGCGTATTCTCATTTAGCAAGATTTAAGTTTGCTGCGATTGCCTGCAATCTTTGTGGAATTTGTAAAATTTGTTATAGTGCCCAGTGAATTGCACTTACATTAGACTTATTTTTGCATTATCAACAAGTGTGAATTTTTAGCAATTAAGTTTGTTGCCCGTAGTTACACATACATCTCGTAGTTACATAATATTCCGTAGTGACTTACGTAAGCCTAATTGTATTTTGCCAGTCCCATATGCATAGGCCCTAACCATATTTACTGCAACATGTTGACAACAGTATTGTTGCCCATTGTATTACATGTACATTCGTAACTTACCTTCTGTTGCAAGTAGTCTCTAGCTTAAAGGTACATGTACATGCGTCGTCATGTCTACTAGTGGCAAACCACAGGAACAGGAACATGAACCTGTGCCCTTCATGGTAGACACGCCTGACATTGACATGTTAAGTCAAGGTGCTAATCCCACTGCTCAATCCAGTGCCAGCGAACATGCATCGGGAATGGATCGCCGCCCATTGCAGCATAAACGCTTTGAAACCAGCTCAAGAGTGTCGCGTTCGTCCCGCCGTAGCAAGACTTCCCTCCGTACAAACTCTTCTCTAGCTTCGTTTGTATCTACCAAAGTCGCCCTTGTTGCTGAAGCAGCAGCTTTGAAGGCTCAACTAAAATTTGTCGACATTGAGGCAGCAAAGCGGGCTGAACTTGAGAAGAAGCAAGCAGAACTCGAGAAATTACAGACAATGCGAAATCTGCACGCTACAGAAGCGAAAATTCATGCCATCGATGGGGTTCTAAACGAAGAATTTGGCCGATCTGAGGTTGAAGAAATTTCAGAAGTTGGAAATCGAAACACGATGGTCAGCGAATACCTGCAATCACTGCCTGACTGTCATAACAATGCGAGCCCACCTGATGAGTCTCAACCGTTGAAAGTGTTTGAGCAACAGCCACTGAACTCAGACAAGATTCCAGAAAAGCCAAAGGAAGCAACACCTGCAGGGAACAAGAGAAATGATTTGAACGACCTGGCCAATATTTTCGCCAATCAGCTCATCTTGAGTCGTCTCCCCCTGCCTGAACCTGGTGTGTTTTCAGGCGACCCCTTGAAGCATCCCAGTTGGAAAAGCAGCTTTGAAACATTGATTGAAAAGAGAAGTGTGCCCCCCTCGGAAAGACTGCACTACCTGAAAAGATATCTGACTGGACCAGCTAAGAAAGCTGTCGACGGATTTCTCATCTTGTCAAGTGATGATGCATTCGACCAGGCCAAGGCCTTGCTGCATAAAAGATACGGAGATCCATTCATCATCGCCAGTGCGTTCAGAGACAAGTTAGACACATGGCCAAAGAAAGCCCCAAGAGACGGCAAGGGTTTGCGAAATCTAGCTGACTTTCTTCGACAATGCGAATCGGCGATGAAGTTGAGTGACAACCTGAACATATTGAATGATGACAGAGAAAACCGAAAGGTACTTGCTAAGCTACCGGACTGGCTAGTCCCAAGATGGGGTCGGAAGGTGCAAGGATGGAAGGAATCCCACAACAAATTTCCCCCTTGCACGGAATTCGTCAAGTTTGTTGTGAAAGAAGCTGACCTGGCCAGCGACCCAGTAACTTCGCTCCAGTCTCTCAAGACAGACAAACCTAGTGACGCTGCGAAGCTAGGTGCTCGAAGTTCCAGGAACGAACCCAAGAGATCGACCGGAGCTAGCACATTTTCAACTGGAGCTGAGACAAAACCAGAGGGAGTATCTTCAAACAAAGTTTGTCTACTCTGCGACAGAAGAAACCACCAGCTTGAATCCTTGATGACTGCCGATTTTTTCTCTCAAAATCACTTGAAGAGAGGAAACAATTCGTCATGAAAAGGGGACTTTGCTTTGCCTGCTTAACCCCAGGACACAGGTCAAAGCAGTGCCGCCAGAGAAAACTTGCCAGACATGCAACTGACGACACCCGACTTCACTTCACGGTGATGTCAAGGAAACTTCAGCCCCAAGACCAAAGTCAGAGAGCGAAGTACCTAAACCAGTGGTGGTATCAACAAGCTCCCACACACGAGTGAATAACTTCAGTGACATATGCGAACAAGGAAAGAGTTCGATGATCGTACCCGTATGGTTGTCACAATCTGACACACCCGAGCGAGAGAGACTCGTGTATGCACTCCTGGACACGCAATCAGACACCACATTTATCTTGGATGATACATGTAACGCACTCGGTCTTGACGGACCAAGAGTACAGCTGTTGCTTTCGACGATGCTTTCATCCAATCAACGAGTACAATCACGAAAGATTAGAGGACTACAAGTGCGGGGACATGACAGCACTGTGAGAATTCCCCTCCCTTCGGCATTCACCAGAGAGATCATGCCGGCCAATCGGACGCACATACCTACCGCAGACATGGCGAGACGATGGCCCCACTTGAACAAGATAGCAAACGAGCTGATGCCCCTAGGTGACTGCGAAGTTGGAATCCTTATTGGATACAACTGTCCACAGGCCCTAGCCCCTCGTGAGGTGATTGCACCAGTTGACAACGAACCGTATGGACAGAGGACAGACCTTGGTTGGGGAATCATAGGAATTGTTGACCCCAAGCTAAGAGAGGATGAATCTGACCCAATAGGAGTGAGTCATAGAGTCCTGGCGTGCGAGAATCCATTGTTTTCATCCGACGCTGACAGTCCAGTTGGCATGAGCCCCACTGCGCAATAGTCGTAGCCTTGTTGCCATTTTGTGATTGGACAATGAACCACGTTCATTTGATGGTGTCTTCGTATCTCCAGTGCAAGTAGCTGCAAGCGCGGTCGCAAGTAGTACTGCTTACGCACCTGGGATCCGTCCGCACTCAGTTTACAATACGTTCAGAATCATTTTAGTGACGGTCTGTTTTCATAAATGAACATCATGTAAAGAAAATAAATTTCCAATTTTCCAAATAATCTATGATTACATCGTGAGATCGTTTAGACACATCCCCATAAATGCATGAAAGTGAATACGGAATTGGAGTGTTAAGTAATTCTTCCGGTCGCATTATCAGTCCTTTTTAGATATTAGGGAGGTATTTTTTTTAAATTAAAACAATGATTGAAGAGAAAAGCAGGGATCATAAATTAATAAATTTACATTCATAAAATATTTTTTTAAAGAAAGCATGAATATAGATGAATAATATAAGTTTCTTTTTAAAGAGAGAAGTAATTCTTCCATTCCCAAAGTTTATGCACAAAATTAATGTCCAACGAATCATTGCAGATAGCTTGCAATGTTCATTTAAATATCGAGATATATACACAGTAGGGTTTTGTGAAATGATTTTTCTTTTCCCCCTTTCTGTATCATTATGTGAACGAAATGTGTCCGACAAAAAACCTGCAGAATCTGGTCTTGTACGATGAACATGTACATGTACATGCGGCGCCCGTACGTGTACATGTACATAGTACCGTACGTACTTGCGTACATGTACTTCAACGTCGTTAATTGACCAATCACAAAATGGCAACAAGGCTACGACTATTGCGCAGTTGAGCCCCTTGCGAGGCCATGTTCTACTTGCATTCAGAACACACATCAAGGAGGTGATCAAACCTTCAGAGATTGCGGAAATGATGGAACTTGACTTTTCAGAAAGAGCGTCAAGTGATGTTCCAGTTTCGTTTGATGACCGCAAGTTTATGAAGAAGATGCAAGAAGGCATCCGCCAGCAACCAGATGGTCACTACATCATGCCACTCCCATTCAAGGAGGGCAAACCTCCTGAACTGCCGAATAACAAGATTCAAGCGATCCGCCGCCTTGCCCAGCTAAAGAGTCGTTTCATAAAGGATCAGAGGTACCATCAGGACTACTGCTCCTTCATGCGAAATATCATCAAAAGTGGTTATGCAGAACGTGTTGCAGAATCCGAGCTTCTTGAATGCGAGGACAGTGGTCACGTGTGGTACATACCCCACCACGGAGTGTACCATAGCAAGAAACCTGAGAAGATCAGGGTGGTATTCGACTGTAGCGCGAGATACAACGGAGAGTGCCTCAACGATCACCTTCTCCAGGGTCCTGACCTTACGAATGCCCTTGCGGGTGTACTCTGCCGATTCAGAAGAGAACGTGTGGCACTCATTTGCGACGTAGAGCAGATGTTCTACCAGTTCAAAGTCAACGCAGAGCATCGCAATTTTCTTAGATTCCTATGGTGGGACAACGGAAGCTTTGAAGGAGATCCTCAGGTATTTCGCATGAAGGTGCACTTGTTTGGTGCCACTTCGTCCCCTGGATGCGCAAACTTTGGCCTGAGACGGATTGCTGACGACTTTGAATCGGAGCTTGGATCTGAGGCAGCTAATTTTGTGCGACGTAATTTCTACGTTGATGATGGCCTGATATCGGTTCCAACCAAAGAAGAAGCTATCAACATGATCCAGAAGACAAAGGATCTTTGCAATCGAGGTGGCCTGCGTCTGCATAAGTTCATCAGTAATTCCTTGGAGGTCATCAGTGCAGTGGCTCCTGGAGACCGTGCGAAGGGTATCAAGGATCTTGATCTCCGATCCGACTCCATACCTGTCGAGAGAGCTCTCAAAGACCAGCCACTGACGAGACGTGGAGTCTTATCTACAGTCTGCTCTGTTTATGATCCGTTGGGACTGGTAGCACCCGTCATACTCGTAGGAAAACAAATTCTACAGAGCCTCTGCAAAGACCAAGTTGACTGGGACGACCCACTCCCAGATCCGCTGAGATCGCGTTGGGAGCAATGGCGAAGCAGCCTAATTCACCTCCAGAGCCTCAAAGTCCCGAGATGTTTTCGGCCAGAAGAGTTTGGAGAATTGACATCCATCGAAGATCACCATTTTTCGGATGCTAGCAACAATGGATATGCACAGTGTTCCTACCTGCGTCTTCGAAATGGTGAAGGAAGAGTCCATTGCGTCTTGGTGATGGGCAAGTGTAGAGTCTGCCCACTGAAGGCTGTCACCATCCCTCGCTTAGAACTTAATGCAGCAGTTGTGTCAGTACGAGTGAGTGCTCTGGTTCAGAGAGAGCTTGACTACCAGGATTACAGCGAAGTGTTCTGGACAGACAGTCAAGTTGTCCTAGGATATATAGCCATTGATGCCTGTAGATTTCACGTCTTCGTGGCGAACAGGGTGCAGATAATCAGGGACCATACGGAGCCATCCCAGTGGAGGCATGTACACTCTTAAAAATACGTGGTTATTTTTTCCGTGGTCAAATTTATTTGACCACATCCGTGGTTGATTTGCCAACATTTTGACATCCACTTGGTCAATGTAGTAACCCCGAAATAACCACGGTAAACGGGGTTATATAACCGTGGTCAAAAAGCATACACTCACGCATGCGCACCGTGCGCGGCGCGAACATTTCCATTTCATTGTCCGCCATCTTTGTTGCTCGATGTGCCGATGTTTCGTGGATCAGAATCAGCTTTTTCAAACAACGTAAGTCAGTTTTTATATTTATTTCGAAGTAATACAATACTTTTCATTGAGTAAAAACGCCTGAGCCGTTAAGGTATTTAATGTACCGCCGAAAAAAGTGAAATATATTCGTTCAAAGTTCCGCTTCTGTGCTGCTGCGGGTAGGCTAGGCCTATGTTCGTGATCATGGTCAACCATGTCAACAGCGATTTCACATACATGACATAGGCCTACATGACATAGGCCTAGCTCGTCATTGATTAAACGAATGTTACCGTCATGCATAATGTGCCTCGGCATTGACAGTTGAACTTACGTTATCAGCGGGCAAATTATTCCATTTTGTGTGCCTCGTTTACCGAAATTTGTTGTAAATTCAAGTGTAAGAACTGTCATCGTAGCCTACTTGGCCACATACCTGACGTACGCGGGCCAGCTCGTACGCGGGCCAGCTCGTACGCGGGCCAGCTCGTACGCGGGCCAGCTCGTACGCGGGCCAGCTCGTACGCGGGCCAGCTCGTACGCGGGCCAGCTCGTACGCGGGCCAGCTCGTACGCGGGCCAGCTCGTACGCGGGCCAGCTCGTACGCGGGCCAGCTCGTACGCGGGCCAGCTCGTACGCGGGCCAGCTCGTACGCGGGCCAGCTCGTACGCGGGCCAGCTCGTACGCGGGCCAGCTCGTACGCGGGCCAGCTCGTACGCGGGCCAGCTCGTACGCGGGCCAGCTCGTACGCGGGCCAGCTCGTACGCGGGCCAGCTCGTACGCGGGCCGGGCACAAGTAATGGACATGCAGGCTAGGCTTATGTGTAATTTTAGTCATTGAAATGGTCTTCCAATGTCCCAAGAATAACATTTTTGACAAAAACAAACTGTGTTTGTTTTTATTTTCAGCCCTGAAAACAAACTGTGTTTGTTTTTATTTTCAGCCCTGGCTGACTGGTGACCATTCCTGCAATGATCTGGATGATTGACTGATAGATGCCTCCAACATCATGAAGATAACTTGTAGAGGGCCAGCTGTCATGCTGGTTATTGCATGCTGTTCAGCTTGTGTTAATGCTACTAAATTTAAGGTAATTATTCTTCATGTTTACAACAATGAGGTTTTCGAATTAGTCTTACGACTGTGGATACATTCTGAACATCAATTAAGTAATTTTGTATCACAAACATGAAAATTAAATGTACACACATGTTTACAATGCACATGTAATTTTTAGATTAAAAAAATGAATTACTGAGTGAAAGGATTTTGTCTATCAGTCATGCAACTCAAATTTCAAACTGATGCAACAAAATCATTAAATTTACTTCCAGAAGTATTTATTAAGTTCCCTTTTTTTTTTTTTCTTTAGGTGTCCAAACAGTGAGTGAATGTCATCGACAACCTTCAACACGAGGATGCCAACCAAAGATAGACGGGTCCTACAGTGTTCAGTCAGTTCAAACCAAACTCTCTACTGCAAATAGACCTCACAAATTTTGTTTATTTTTTTTCTAAAATCTAGCAGAAAATACTGAAAACCAATTTTTTGTTTAATCCTGACATTATCTTTGATTATGTGGATTAGGTGACACAAGTGGTAGCTTTTGCATACTTGACATTTTTAAAATGTACTGAAAATTGTACCACAATCATTAAATAATTGCAGCTACATGTACAACCTGACAGTTCATTTTCAATGATTACAATACATACATGTATATGTACCTGAATGCTGTATCCTGTGCAAGTTGATTAAAATAATCAGCTATATAATAGACTTGTGAAACAAACTGTTCACACATCAATTTATTAATGAAAAAATATGTGTGCTGTTAAATTGTACTTGTAACATTTGGTGCTCATATGTCTCTAAAAAAATGAAAGAATTGTTTGTACTAAGACTAGTAAGAGAGTCAACTGCATTCATTTAAAAAAAAGTTAACAAATGTATAAGGATATTCAGAATTTATTAAAGAAAAATGTGTATTGAAGATAAAGCACTCTAAAAGCATTCTTTCTTATGTCTAAGTTTCCCTTCGTTGAATTTTAGGTGTTTCATTTTAAGTGCACCATTTCAGGATTACTTGTAGAATTTTTTAGTCCATGAATTTAATTTTTTTTTTTTTATTTTGAATACGAAATCGGATTGTGAAAATTTAACCACGGGAATTGGTCAAAATGGCTGACCACGGCAATGGGGTTAAATTGACCACGGAATTGGGTTAAAAATATGACCACAATGGGGTCAAGTATCGACCAAAATACGTGGTTATTTATACTGACCACGTCAGGTGGGGTCGTTTTGACCACGGATGTCGTCGGTGCATATTTGACGACGGGAACGTTGTTAAAAATGACCACGACGTGGTTACTTTTTAACCACGTATTTTTAAGAGTGTACGCTCGGATGCCAACCCAGCTGACGACGGCTCCAGAGGTCTTTGCGTGGACGAATTACTGAATCAGTCAAGATGGCTGCATGGTCCCGAATTTCTTTGGGAAAGGGACATCCCGATTGAGATTGAAGCCACCGGTCCAACTATCTTTCCAGACGACCCTGAAGACAAGAAAATCCAGGCATTTTCCACACACTCAACCCAGACACAGTCCATGTTGGCACGCTTGAAAAGGTTCTCCCAGTGGCATAGAGCTAAACGAGCAGTAGCAGCCTACCTCAAGCTGAAATTCCGTCTGAAAGCCCACTCGGTGAAGAAGGCACAGAGGATTGATCCAATTAAAACACTACGAGAGAATGCGATCCCTCTCTTCGAACCAGCCACAGTTCAGCAGCTCTGTCAGTCAGAAGTTGAGACCATTCGACTCCTTCAGAGACATGCCTTTGCAAGTGAAATAAAGATTCTGGCTTCACTTGATGTCTGCAGCAACTCTGTTGATCAACAAACCAGAGTACGGAACAAGACTATGAGAAAGACGAGCTGCCTGTATAGACTGGACCCTTTCATCGATGCAGATGGTGTAATGCGTGTTGGTGGACGAATCAGGAGAGCCGACCTTCCTCCCAACTTCAAACACCCTGCAATACTCCCTAGAAACCATCATATCACTGAACTGATAATCCGACACTTCCACGAAGTAGCCGGTCATCAGGGACGAAGTATGACTACCAATCAGATCCGAGCAAGCGGCTATTGGATTATTGGCTGCAGCTCTGCCGTCTCGCACTTCATCTCCAAATGCGTCAAGTGTAGGAAGCTATACAAACCGGTTGAAGAACAGAAGATGGCAAACCTACCAGTAGACAGACTTGAACCTGCGCCACCCTTTACATATTGTGGAGTTGATCTGTTCGGGCCATGGTATGTAAGGGAAGGCCGGAAAGAACTCAAGAGATATGGTGTCCTCTTCACCTGTATGGTGTCCCGAGCTATCCACATTGAGACTACGACTGCGCTCAGTACTGATGCCTTTATCAGTGCATTGCGTAGATTCATCGCCATTCGAGGACCAATAAGACAACTGAGATGCGACCAAGGTACCAATTTTGTTGGGACACAATCAGAGTTTGAAGAAGCCCTTAAAGGAAATGGATACTGGTCAAGTTGAGAAATTCCTACTCAAGGAAGATTGCGACTTTGTCGACTTCAAGATGAATGTGCCCACTGCTAGTCATTCAGGCGGAGTATGGGAAAGGCACATCCGCTCAGTGCGAAGAGTGCTCCTGTCTCTGATGGAACAGATGTGTTCGCACCTTGACGATGATTCTCTGAGAACCCTCATGATGGAAGCGGCCGCTATTGTCAACAGCAGACCCCTGACGATTGATAACCTGAATGACCCGACCTCTTTAGCGCCACTCACCCCGAATCACTTGCTGACTATGAAGTCGAAGTTGGTTTTTCCACCCCCTGGATGCTTCCAACGAACCGACCTCTACTCAAAGAAGAGATGGCGTCGTGTCCAGTTCCTCGCTAACGAATATTGGACCCGCTGGAGAAAAGAATACATCCAGACCTTGCAGTTGAGGCGGAAGTGGATTCGTCCACATTCTAACCTTGACACCGGTGACATCGTGATCCTCAAAGATGACACCGTCCCTCGAAACAAGTGGCGACTCGGCCGTGTTGAGGATGTCTTTCCAGGAAAAGATGACCTTGTGTGTAGTGTTCGCCTTCTCATAGGTGACCCTCTCCTTGATGCAGAAGGCAAGCAGGTGCCTCCTAAAAGATACTTGGAACACCCTGTGCATAAGTTAGTCTTGCTTGTCACAGACAAGGACATCGGAGAGATCCCCGTCGAGGAGCCTGAATAAGTTGACTCGAGACAACAAGAAATGAAACTAGAGTATCTTTATTACTTACCCATATGTCTTGACCTTATGCTAAGGACTTAGTGTTCAGTTAAAGGAGTAGTTAAGTGTAGTTAATCAGTTTTACCCCCTTTGGTATATTTAAGGGTCCTCCGACCTACAAGTTTGTTGTGCAAATGTTAGTAGTTTTTTTTTTTAAATTAGAGTTAAAGGTCTAATTTTGGGGAGCCATGTTGATGCAGATGAATCACTGTTAGATTGTCACAGCACCTTTAAGCAGTATTTAGTGGAGTACAGAATACCTCCCTCGAACAAACGAACAACGTCATGCTGTAGCAACCACATTTTTGCATGAAACTTGCGTCTATGCGACCTTTTTGGAGATTAAACCTGAGAAAAATCTACTATTGCGAATCCTACAGTAGACTTATAGGATGCAAGGAGGTACATGATATATTCTGTATTGTGTATTGAGATTGCAGAATGTATTTTCGTGCATTTCAGAGACATTTTCACCAGATGTTTTGCTACACTTTGGATTTGGATATTTGTATTCATGTACATGCATGACATGTATTCACCTCGTGACCTAATTTCAAGTACTTATGTGAATCTATGTGCATTTTATTTGTTTGTACCAGTTTTCACGGAGCCAAGAGTGATGATAATGGATTAAAGGCTTCTGTCGAGACCCCTTGCAAAATCTAGCAGGTGTACTTCAACGAAGTCTACTTATTGCGTCACCTTGCGTTTATAACCCTGAAATTGCGAGTACAGCCTGTTATAGTTACTATGTAGGCCTATACAGAGTCAGAGCCGGATCCAGGTAACAAACTATTGGGAAAGAATTCCGTAACCAACCGCCACCCAGCATAGCCTGTGTGGTGTTCCCTGGCCTTCCTTGGGGTGGAGGTGGCGAGGGCAAAGGACCAAACAATTTAAAACGTAGACACATCTTTTTCTCTGGACACTTCTCCTGTGTAAAATCAAAATGTTGGGGGGGGGCTCTATTTCCAAAAATGCCCTCCATTTCCAATAGAGGGCGCTTTTCAAAACCCAGCATTTTCTGCAATATATATGTAAATGTATTGCATGATAGACATGACAATAATCATTGATTTGAGGCAAGTGTCACTCTCTATAATAAAAATAAATAATCTTATACGCGATAATGTAATCTTTTCCTTGACCTGATAATATACTTGGCTCCTAATACATGTGATATTATCATGTCAAGGAACCAAACGGTTGACTCGCATAACAATAGCCAGTACTGCATCAATTAAAACGGCTTGTTGAACACTTGATCTCGTGACTTGTTTACCTGATAAATTAATAACTCAATTTTATTTTCATTTTTTTTCTTTCAACGCAGAATACACAGGATGACATTCCGCCATTTCGAGGGCCTCAAGAGCCATCTGCATCATCTAGTCTAGTCAGTCCAGTGCCACTGAAAACGTGAGTTCCATAAAATGTGCATGATGGGCCTATTTGAGGTTCATGTACATTGTAGGTGGGATGAATGTCAAACCTGTCTTACAGAAAAAGAGGATTTTTGTTTTCATTGTTGAGGTTAGAGTTGGGGTTAGTATTAATGATGTACAAACACGACCCGAAACAAACTTCGGGTCGGGTCTGGCGGTTTGTCCATATTTTCAGTCGGGTCGGGTCGGGTCGGGTTGGTTTTGGTTTTGCATTTACATTAAAAAATATGTTATAAACCCAGGCAATAAAAAAACACATTATCCTATGAATTAAGAAAGGCCTGCTTAAAAAGATGAGTTTTCAAACCCGACTTTATACTCTGTACACTGGAAGACTCCTAAGGTTAATTTCAAGCTGGTTCCACAGGCGGGGACCAGCCACAGAAAACATTCTCTCACCTATGGAAACCAGCCTGGTATTCGGGCAATATACATGTAATCGAGACGTGTCTAGAAAAGAACGCGTACATATAGTTGGAACTCGAGTTAATGAAATTTACAAATTCATTAACAATGTCAATTTTTTTTTTTTTTCTCACTTTCAACAGGCCAATTACCTGGACTGAGAAAATGAACGTCATGTTGTGCCGGGAAGTGGATTACATCAATCCATTTCAATACAAAGAGCGAACAAAGGAAAGGGGGAAATGCTGCGAAGAGGTGGCGGCCAATCTACGTAAGCATGGTAATGATGTGACGAAGAGAAGCGTAAGGGACAAGTTTAAGGCCTTGAGAGATCAGGTAGTAAAACGGAATAACAAAGAAGTGAGGGAAAGTGGTATCGCCCCAGATCCTAGCGACATTAACAAGGAGCTAACTTAGCTTATGGAGGACCTGGTGGAATTGGAAAGTGAGCAATAGTTTGAGACAACAGACAAACAGAAGGAGGCGAAGAAGAAACTGGATGGGGTAGAGATGAGGAAACGTGCAATGGAGTCATTCAGTGAGACAGACAAAAGGTAAGTTTGTAAACATTTCCAAGATTCATGCTTTTTGTCAAATCATATTTCAAGTCTTTAGTGGTTAAAAAATGAAAGGATACGAGTTATACAAGAACTATGTACTCATCAGATTCAGAATTAGCATGATTTCCTGTCTAATTCTTTTCTGACGTTGGAAAGTTTTACCCTCATGAAAAATTTGTGACTGATTAAACTGTTACTTGCGGGTAGCTATGGGCACAAAGCTCACCTTGCAGATTGACCCACATGGCTGCAAATTAGCTGCACGGTCTTGTGGCACGGCATGCCAACAGCTGACAACCGCATTCCATGGGGATTAAGGGGGTAAACTTTGCGTAGTGTATCACCCGAGAATAATAAGTTAAGTTTTGTGTTTCAGGTTGAAGTCCGAGGAAGAAGACAAACAAATGAGGAAGAGAAACACAGGAAGTGACGCTAGCCTGTTCTTGCTAAAGAAATTGGAAATGGACAGAGAAATGAAAGAGCGGAAGTTGGAGCTGAAAAGGGAGGAGGCCCAGAGAAGGCAAGAGAAAGAAGAAAGAGAAGAGGAAAGAAGGAGACAAGATGAAGAAAGAAGACGGGAGAAGGAAGAACGAGAGGAAGACAGAAGGAGGCGGGATGAAGAAATGAGGCGAGACAGGGAAGAAAGGGAGGAGACCAGAAGAAGAAGGGATGAGGCAGACAGAGAGAAGAGGATGGAGCTTTTACAGCAGCAGCTGATGCAACAGAACCAAATGATTGTAATGCTGCTAAAGAACAAACATGAGAAGTAATATAAAGCCATCAGATGCATATTTCCAGTGTTGCTACGTACAGTTTTTCTCCTATAGTGTCATTCCGTGTCTGTTCAACATGATTTTGGACCCGACCCTCACAGATGGTAAAGATATTTGGTGTGATGATTGGCCTATTTGAAAACTCCCCCACAACTGATTTTTTTCTTAGTTTGGCTTGTTAGTTTTTGAGATACGGGTCAGTGAACCTTTGACTAATTAGCATGACCTCCGAACTTTAAATAGTTGTATCTCCAAAACTATAACACGTACAAAAGCCAAATTTTAACATGTACATCATATTAAAGCTCTTTAAATTCCCTCCATTTCATAAATATAACCAAAATCATAGCATGGAGCGCAGAGAAAATGCGTAACAAAATGACCTTTGACCTTGAATTATGAAAATCTATATGCTTCAAATTTCAAATTTTTTTCCAGATGTTAGTTTATGATGTAAGCAACAATCTTGGACAATTTCGGGATGGGCGCTCGTAACATTTTCAAGTTAAGATTTGTTAAAGATGGCATGTCCAGGGGAAAAAACTGTTATTGTGTTGAATCGACACGGAATGACCCTATAAAAATATAGTAATATATTGTTACTATAATAAGGTAATATAAAACCATCAGATGCATATATTCAGTGTTGCTACTAAAGCCCAAATCATATTAGTAGCTACAACCGTGAATGTGTGACTGGGGCTTTACACTTTATTCCTTCCAAACAATTTAGCTGCTTGTTTTTCAAATTTATAGTTAGCAGTTATAGTTCGGTTATTCTGCAGTTTTCAGCTTCGGAAAAGTGTTCTGCTCCCCCTGTTTCTTTATGAACCAAAATAATGCCAACCTAATGATTGTCAATAATGGTGTCACTGCTATCTTAACCATCGCTTCCCCCTTCTGTATCGCATAGCTGCTGTTGGAATCAGTACAGTAGTGGTCAATGAGTGACTGCATCGAGAATCATCATGCTGGCATTCCATTTTATCACAGACATGTACATTTACTGTGAAATTCATAAGATGGAGTTTTCGTTGGGGGGGGGGGATGTACATTAATATGAGGTTTTTGCCTTTCACCGAACCAGCCGATCCCGTAAGCTCGGTGGTCGAGTGGGAAGCCTTGGTGTCGGCACTAGAAAGCAAAAAAGTTGTGGGTTGGAGTCCCACCCGTTTTTTTTCCCTTGGGTGGTAACACACCAAGTATTCAGAGTTAATACATCGGCAAAAAGCTAATATTAACCCCAACTCCCTAGCCTAATTTACTAGGAACCATACCCATCCAGGCCAATTCGAACACCCACATGGCAAATCGTACGCACACACTGTTGGACTTAGTTTCTGGAGATATGCCAAACCCAATGTAAAAGACCATCAGTTTAGGGGTACTGTACCCATTCTAACAGATTTTAACAACACCTGCTGATGGGTTTAGTTCGGTTAGGGTTAATACACATGTACTTGTGAAATTGTAATTGAAATACCTTGCTGGACTGTTAGTGAATGACAGTGTAAAGCATCCTGTAAAATCATGGCACCTGGTATACTGTCATTTTCAAGAAAAGTGGTATTTTTGTATCAATTTCAAACGCTGGTCGGCCGACCAGCGTTGGAAAAAAACTGGCTTTTTTCCAAAAACTGGCCCCAATTGACCATCGCACTTGTTTGCAATCGATTACACAACTATGAACGGGTACAAGCCAGCTGGACTGGTTGCCTGACCTCACAATTCCCCAATGTAGGTAAACTGCTCTGTTTCTTCTTATATGGAGTCAGGGAGCCAGACTACAGGGAAATGATTGCTTTTTTTGGTTTTTATAGCATTTTCGAACCCAAAACCTCAAAAAAGTCAGTGTAACTATATTTGCTATATATTTCAAACCCCCAACTCCATCCATTTCTGAAAATTACAGCAAAAGCAAATGATGTATATTCCCTTTAACTCAAAATCACTTCGAGTTCCTTTTGGCTGTTCCGGGAGTGCCCCTGTTTTTACTTCATACAGGAATGTTTCTGACCTTGTTACATACTGATGTTTTTATTAAAGCAGACTTGCTGTTAACTTTTAGATTGAATCTTCCAGTAACTTTATCCACCTGTTATGCCGTTTCAAGATTGTTAAAAGCCCATCCTTGCCGTTTATTTATAAGATGCTTCAGGCTTATTGTTTGCCAGGATCGAATGGATCAAAATAAATCATAAGTTGAGGCTTAAAACATACAAGTCTTGATTAATCATTTCTATGAGTAAATATAGAAAACGAAAATAACAAAATAGTTGACTCTCGTTAATACAAACACTGTTAATACCAATTCTGGCTATAACAAACATAAAGCCTTGTTGCTGACTGTGCAAATTATTAAAACAATGAATGGGACGGGCACTCCGCTTTTACAAACATTTTGGCTAGCTCCACCTGAGTTTGTATTAATGAGAGTTGACTGCAAATGAAATCACAGATTGACTAGGAGTTCAACTTTCCCTGAACCTTGCCTTGAAAGTATTCCTCCATGATGGGTGGGTCTTGCCCAAAGAAACGCGAACACACATTGCCATATAGGCAAGTATGAGCATTTGTTAGTAGCCCCGAAACAACATACATTTTGCCGCATGCTGATAGACAGACTTTTTGATTCTTCTTGAAATCTACAAACTTGAAGAAGTTGATTATGTCGCCAAACAGCCACTCAACACTGACTCTAACACTGCTCATTGACTTGTTGTATGCCTCCTGTTCTGCGGTCACATCGTTCCCTTTGAAGGGACCCTGGAGATGGGCCCGTAGTGGGTAAGCTGTATCTCCATAAATGCACATCACATGGCCCTCTGGATCATATCATCGCTGAGCTGACAAACCGACGAATAAGCGAAAACCTTGTTTGGAGTAATTTGCGTTTGAAGTTTGACACTTCTCCGGGCGCCGTATTTTACCCTTAATGTTTCGATAAAAAAACTGTTAGTATATATTCTGAATAAAATATGAAACTAAGTATCCACCAGGTCACTTATTTATTCAGAGAAGTTGTGCGATATGATTTTATTTGATCGTTAACGCATTCGTCAGTTTGTCAAATTACATTAATCTGCAATATCCGGTTGTTCTTCACACTGTTTGTATGCTATTCGTCAGTTTGTCGGATCGCGCGTGCACGCACGCGCAATCCAACAAACTGACGAATAACATTCGTTGGTACTTGGAACGCACACCTTACAAAAGCTGGTTACCAGCGCAATTTCGCATTCGTCACTATGTCAAATTATGGGTTTGTTTTTTTGAGTGATTCGCCACCAGGGGGGCTCTGAATCTCAAAATCCAGACAAATATTAAGAATTTTGGCATAAATACTTGAAAGAGCAACCTTCATAAAGCCTAAAAATAACAAAAAATCGAAATCGCCAAAATGGTCGATTCGCCGGTTTGTCAGCTCTGCGACGATATGATCTAAGTTCCAATTCAGCAAATAGTCCTGTCTCTCGCAACAAAAAGGAGTCCTGCCTTCTTCCTTCTAAGGGCCCAAATAGCTTACAATCATCCCATTTGCAGCAATAACAGATCGATACTTCAGCGCATGAACACGTTTGTGCCCATTGTACATGACTTGTTGGTTTGCATTAGGACGGCATATTGGGCGCACTGTTCCATCGACGAAACCCCAGCAGTTCCTCAGTGCTGCCACCTTCTCATGTACAGCTGTGGCATACGTCAGGAGGTGTGCAGGTGACAGCAATGGTTTATCTAGAGTCCCAAAGAGGTGATTGTAGTTTGAGTACAAACAATTCATCATATGAGTTGTGACCAAACACAACTGTGGCACGTCTCGAACAAACATCTTCACCATGTCGCCATATCTACATGGGTATGAAAATCGTGATAGCATGATGCACATAGCCTCCAGCCCATCAACTCTGTATCAATGTATGCACTTGATTTTGTCTGGAACATGGAGTACATCCCTTAGCAGGTACAAGTATCCTGAAATCTGGCAAGAAAAACATAGAAAAATGTGTACATTTTAAAACAGGCTTATAGTTATACTCTTAAAACAGATTGGTTGAAACATTATTACCAATGAGAATCCTCCTTAAATGTAGGATCAACACGTTGGGTTGGGTCACCATGCAAGCTTACATTTTATTAATAAGGGCATAAATGTGTGTTTGGGGGGTATTGCAACACTAAATTGTACTTGTCGAACTTAATCAACACATGATTAAGATTAGAAATCAAGATTAGAATTACACAAATACCAAGACTTGAATTTTTCCAAAATTTGTCTTGACTCTCCATTACTTTGAAAACAACCGCTGTGGCGTCAGGTTGCAGCATTTTTCCCGCCATTCCATGTAAAAATGTGGCTTGTTGTACTAAACACCAATGCCAGTAACATTGCTTTTGAGTGACCAAAATCCCCACCCTCGGGCACTAAAACGTGACTAAATCCCGACATCGGACTTGGGGCAGCACGGGGGGCCGGGGGAGGGCTTATTAGCATCATATAAAAGCACGAACTCTTCATCATCTAGCAAGTCGGTGTAATATCCAAGAGGTATTGCTTCCCGCATTCGATGTAGTTTCGCCATTATGTTTGTTTATACCGTACCGACGAGGTCACATCAATTAGGTCGCAGGACAAGAGAGGGCGCCCGCACAGTCGTCGCGACGCGTCGTCGACTCATAGAATCTAAAATGGTTTTATCCACAGTCGACACTGTTGTCCACTTGATATACGCGCGCGCGCGGTCGACGTGAACGCCATCCGCGTTTACACGAATCTAAAGCTGTCTATTGTCACACTTACAACAACAGGCTCTCACGTCTGCTGCCATACCACACCAGTAAAACAAGGTCTTTAGCCTAGCTAGTGTACTGCTTACACCGAAATTGCCTCCGCTTTTTGAAATTCCATGTAATTCCTCTAGTATCGCCTCACGAAATTCGAAGGGTAGGATCACTTGCCATTGAATTTCCTGACCATCATTGGATTCCCAACGCTTACTCAGTACCGAGTGACGCATCTCCAGTTGGTCCCATTGTGACCAGTAGACCTTAGCTGTTCCTGCTCTTGAGGAAACCTCGCTCCAATCCGGGCGACATCCAGACTCCTCTTTTGCCTCTATTACCCAACTGATCGTCGGATCCCTCAATTGGC